AAGTCAAAAGAACATCTAAGCGTTAAGAAACCATCATGGATGATCCCAGTGAGACTTTTCCCTCTCTCTCTTTGCCTAACTACGCTCCTGTTAAAAGCCTTTTGGAATTACTTCCCTGCTTTGAAAGAGCTGCCTTTGTTTATCTGGGGAAAAGAGCTTTCCATAACAAAGGAAAAAACTTCTTATTGACTATTTTTATTTTTGGCTACTTGGGGGCCCTGGAAAAATCCTTATCATAAAACTTTATTATATCTTCTAAGCTGGAGAATATTGTTTTCCTATGTCCTGGACTTATTTTTCTAAAGGGATAAATCTTTATTGTTTGGGGGGGGGAAACTCTATGAGAAGCCAGAAAAGAGATTCCACAGCTCTTTGACTTTGCTAACCTCATTCTTGGTGTCTGGAAGAGACTTTCATAGTTTACTGAGGACACCTTGTGGAGAAATCTAAAACTGCAACTGTTTCTTGTTTTTTTTTTTGTGCAACAGCTGTTATTGGTGGGGGTGGATACTGACTAAATGTTTTGGAATATAGCCTCCACTAAAAGATAACAGGATTGGATTTAGTTACTACTGAAATGGAGAAATCATATTTACAACTCAACCGTAAACTCATACCGGAAAAAATTTATGAAGCTACTGAGGAAATATGTTCCCAAATAAGAGAGAGTACTGCAGAAATAATAAACAGAAATTCTACTGTGAACTTACAAACTGACCTTCAGACTCTATTTGATCATTCTACAGACCAAAAAGCAATAGAAGAGGAATTAATTTACATACAACCTATGGAGACTTTGGATGACCAAAAATGATTGTAACTAAACTATCTACAATTGCAAAACTAACAGAAATGGACTTGAAATTACAACTGTTGGAGAATTACGACAACTTTGATAATCAACTACTAAGTATAAAATTGGACACGATCGAGTGTTTTATCCAGCAGATAGGACCAGGTGTCAAAAACAGAGGATGGGAGGTCTTTTACTGACCCAAATGACATTACAAGCAATACTGGGAGATCTATTTGCTGAAATAGAGGCTTTGTTATGGAAACCTGCTTGGCATAAAAAGAAAGCCAGAATAAGACTAAACAGAGAAATTTAAAATTATATGTAATGGATTAAAAAGGTTTTGAGAAATATGGATTGATTTAAGGACTAAGATTTAGAGTTGAGAATTTGTGATTATTAGAATATATATGTTAAACAGTAAGAATGTATTTTTTGGAGTAATATGTTTATTTGTATGAAAATTATTTTGTAATGGAATGAGAATAAGAATATGAAAGAGGTTCTTAGAAATTCGGATTGATTTAACAACTAATTGAGTGTGTTAAGTTAGTAAGGCGATGTTTTGTGTAATAATAGGTGTGTTCTTTTTTTTTAGACATGATAATTATTTGAATGAGATGTAAATGCTATCTGAAGAAATAAGAGAGATTTGTGATAAAATCAATGACTTATAAGATTATGAATTAGAATATATCTGGATTAGTATTTTAGAAGGGATACCTGAAGTGATAATACATTTATCAAGTATTTACTTGAGCTATTATATGATTTTGTTTTTGGATGATTGATCACCTAACCACCATGGTGTGTCTTGAGCATTCTGTTGTAAAAGTTAAAAAACCAATAAAATTTGTTATTTAAAAAAAAAGTCCTTTTTACCTAACTGTAAGTAAAACACTTTAAATCAATTTTAAAAGTCCCGGTTGGGTAATGAGTTCTTTCTGTGTTATCCTAAAAACTACTACTTTTAACCAATTTTGGGTGATTTATCCAGGTTTGGTATGCATGGTGTTTTCCTATTCTCTGTATATAAATTTGCAAGCAGTTTCTCGCCAGGGATCTAATCAGGGTATGTGAATATGTGAAATCTTGTGTATCTGTGAAAATCTAATCAGAATGAGAGCGTATGCATATGTGAGAGAATTTAATGTAATTGGGGTGTGTTGCTTTAACACCCAGGCTGAATTAGCATGGGAAAGATTGGAGAGTATAGTCATATTTGTAGGTGACCACTGTAAGAAAATGCTAACTCCTAGAACACCTGGCTACCCTTAAATATTAATTCCTCTAAATCCATTTCCTAATTATGTTTGTGAAAAATATTTCTGCAAGTTCTAGTCTGGACATAACCCAAATTAGCCACAACTGTTAAAACTGGATGTAATTCTTTGTAGAGCCTGTTAGATATAATGCTAGTGCGGATGGTCTGTTAAATTAGTTAGAAACAAATAGAAATAAATTAGTCAGAAACAAATAGCAAGAAAATAAGTACATTTTCACTAACCTTGCCCGTTTATTCACACTCAACATTTCCAGCCCGAGTTTTGGCAGTTGAAATCTAAAACAGTATTTCTCAAACTTGGTAACTTTAAGATGTGTGGATTTCAAATTCTAGCAATCCCCAGCCAGCTGCGGTATGTTGGGGAATTCTGTTGGTCTAAAACAGGGATCTTCAAACTTGGCCCTTGGCGTGCCTGGCTGAGGAATTCTGGGAGTTGAAATCCACAAGTCATAAAAGGGCCAGTTTTGAAGACCCCTGGTCTAAAAGATCTTGAGTTATTTTGGTCTTAAATACTGGTCTAAAATATCTTGAAGGGTGTACACTGGTATATACATACTGGTATATAGACATTGGTATGTACATGTCATCTTGTGTCATTTCTAAGCACAAACCAAAATCTTGGTCATAAATTTGAAGGCACTTCTGCCTTGCTGAATATCCTCAATGGTGTACCTATCATTAATTTTAACCTAGCTCTATAAAACATTTCCCACAGCCATAATTATATTTCCACAAGAAAACGTTTGCTTTCCATCTGCCATCCTGCAAATACTATTTAGGATAGTATGACCTGATGTTCTCTGCTTTATTTACACTATCAGGACCTTGGCTTTCAAAAGCATTAGATATACCGGGCCTTTCCTATTCAAATATCCACTTCAGCAGATGGCAGCATCTAACTGGTCTTGGCTAATCTCAGAAATGAAACTGCCAATCACTATTTTGCTATCCCTATTCAGATGAGCAACTGGCTGGAAATTCCACGGCTCTTTACTCAATTGGGAAACTGGAAAATAATTCAGTAAAAGGAAAGGGTAAATCACTTCCATAAGACTGCAAAAGAAACAGGATAGATACAATTACCCAGCGTCAATAGCAATAGCATTTGGACTTTCATGCTCCTTTGAAGTGCTTTATAGCACTCTCTTAAGCACTTTAGAGTCAGCATATCAAGCTTTGACCCTACAGAGCTTTGTTCCTCATGTTCTATTTTTTTTTCTTCATAACATTTTTCTCACAAGTCACTTGAGCCTGATGTCAGGGCTGAAAGAGACTGACCCAAAGTCACCCGGCTGGCTTTTATACTTAAGGCAAGACTACAACTCAAATCTTCCTATTTCTAGTCTGCTACCTTAACTATTAAACTAGCTCTCCTCTTCTACTCTCTATATCAGTGGTCTTCAAACTTGGCAACTTTAAGACTTGTGGACTTCAACTCCCAGAATTCCTCAGCCAGCCCGCTGAGGAATTCTGGGAGTTGAAGTCCACAAGTCTTAAAGTTGCCAAGTTTGAAGACCCCTGCTCTATATGTTTGGTTAAAACAAATCAAACAACCTTGGGTAAGCATGCTTCCGTTTTATGGTACAGTTTATTGCCATTTCATCCATATTTATTTGTTCAATGTTCAGCCTGCTTTTAGTACAGGAGCTCAAGACAGGTGTATAATGTGCTTCCTCCTGGTTTCTCCAGACCAGCCTTTGTGGGGCAAGTTGGACTAATAGTAAAATGACTGGTCTAAGAATTCACATTGAACTTCTGTGACTGAGGAAGGCCTAAAACTCAGGTCTCATCAGTGCAAGCCAGTACTTTAACTGCTACACCACATTGGCTGTCAACGAGACCCAGTCCTTAAATCTGCTTGTTAAAATACAACAGCTTGTGCCCACCCTACTAGGTGTCAAGTCCTGGAGATCTAAAAATAAGGTTTTATGTAAGCATAACATGTATAAGGCTTTAAGTGTATGATCAAGTCAACTTTTACATAAGGTATTCTCTACAGATGAGTTGAGGTTCAGTGCCCATAATCTCCCAATTAGTTTTTCATATGGCCAAGAATTGTAGGTATGGAAGTCTGACACACAAGGATAGCAGGTTGGGGAAAACTTTAGAAGCAGTTAGAATAAAATCTGCTGTAATAAGGTTAAGATTCCTTATTTTGGACGTACTCTAGTGTAGGGGTCCTCAACCTTGGCAACTTTAAGACTTGTGGACTTCAACTCCCAGAATTCTTCAGCCAGCAAAGCTGAAGTCCACAAGTCTTAAAGTTGCCAAGGTTGAGGACCCCTGCTCTAGTGTGAAGGAAAAGTGATTTCTTTCAAGCATACCCATCTGTAATCTTATCCCTTTAGCTAGGGAATTTTATAGAATTAAAGAAAAACAAATCAGAACAACTGAAGCAATGCCCTGGCTGTTTCTCTATAGCCAACCATCAATGAAGAGAAACAGAAGTGTCTTCAGGAACACACATTGCAGAGTTGCTAAAAATGATTTCTCCTTTCCACCACTCATTATGGGCTTGTGACAAAAGTTCTAAAATGTAGCCGAACATTTAAGGGCAAAATATTCAGGTGACTTTAATATTGAGTCCTCCTTCCAACATTTTCATAATGCCCCATGTGACTGTACACAATCGTAAGATGTATATGACAGAGGATGGAATCTGATGGAGTGCCTATCTCTAGCCTTCAAGACATTAAGATTCTTAGCAAGAAATCCCATCCAATCAACTTAAGGAAAACATCCATCTTCATTGGGTTCAATTATTGCCTTCTTAGGCTGGTGAAAAGCTCTGTTGCAATGAAGCTACTTTCCAACACCACAGACATGCTCACCCACGGATCTGCAACCCATTTCATTCAGTATTTAATTCTAATACGCATTAAAAACTTGCAGGATAGCAATTAAGGCAGCTGAAGCATATTTTGTTATAAAAGATCAAGAATTTATTCCCAAGAGATCAGTCTCCCCTACACATGATGTTGCCTTTAAAATACCCACTCCCTTTAAAACACCCAAGTCTTCCAGATGCCCCAGAAATATAATGCATACATCTGTTTCCAAAACCAGGACTATAAACTCAAGAAGCTTCTGCTGCAGGTCTCTCCCTACTGAAACAAACGAAAATATTTGTTCTTTCCATATTACAGAAAGGTGCATCTTTAAGTATGTGTTGCAAAATCCACAGGAGGATTTTAAGGCAGGAAATCTACTTTGTAAAATCTACTTTCAGGATCACTTGTGTTTAGAGAATACCAAGGTGCTGCTTTCCAAGTGCTTCTTTCACATTTTAAGCAAACAAGGAGTGTGGTTTGGAATGAGCCGTCAATGTAAATTTCATAGATGTTAAACTTAAGCCATTGCTAACTATCCTTATTGATTCCTTATCAAAACTATGCAAATTTTTCAACATTTAAGTGCACTCTGAAAGGAATTTGTTCCAACAAAATAATCAAAATAAAATCGCACATATGCAGCCATGTTTAAATAGCTTTCACAGGCTCAATATCATGGATATTAGCAAGCTTCAATAAATTGTCATCCTCCCTTCCCCTTGTTTCAAAAATTATCTGAATAGTGCAAGAATAGCAGCACCGCAAGGGCATTTGGTTTCATTCAGTACCTTTTCTCTGCCTTTCCATTGAACTGCATGGTTTAAAAAACTTATGGCAAGTGCAAAATTTCCACTTCTTAAGGTACTGCAGGAAGGCTTGTGTCAGAATAATAGTGGATATAGGTAAACAGCAAGACTTCCTTCTCACAACTGCATCAGTGTTTTGAGACTACAACTTCAAGTAATCAATGGGCATATTAAACTTTGTGCATCATCTGAATCATATCTCTGAACATGCGCTGTGGGGCATCAAGGCCCCAGATGAAATCCAGATGTTCCCATTCTGGGATCTCCTTGTGGTATATCAAATTTGGGATCAGAGTCAGTAAGATGGCAATGTCCTTCCTGTCTGAAAGAAAGTCATGGCCACCTGTCCATAAGGCAGTTGGAACAATCATCCTTTCCATTTTGTAGGGAGGTGGTGTTGGCTAAGAAAGAAGGAAAAATAATGGTTAAAAAAATCCAAAGAAATTCTCATCCTGATGTCACCACCGAGCAAACTGGCTGAGGTTGTAGTTTGGCAACAACTGGAAAGGCAAGGTTCTCCAGATCTGTTCAACAAATCACCTGAGGCAAACTGTTTAACAAAGGCTTCCCATTTTTCCCAGAACAAATTCTATGCAACATATAAAAATATGGCCACAGTAATCCTTATATATTTATTTACTATATCTCATTTGCCCAATAACTAAAGTTTTGGGGCTGATTTCCAAGTTATGTAAAACATTAAAACAGTAAAAATACAAAACAATAAACCAATAAATATGTGCAATAAAAAACCAACAAAAATAACTCAGTTTCTTAACATAAACTACACTAAAAATCCATATCTAAATGCCAGTACTCTAGTATAATTAGGCCAACTAGGATAAAAAGAATTCTAAGTAGAGAATGCCTGGGCTAAGATAAAGTTTTAGTTGAAATGCCAGGCATGGCTTCTGCCAAATATTTCCCAGAGATGAGTGTCACTCTCTTTGGTTGCCCAAAACTGTAAGCAATCCTCTTTAGGCAAAATTCCCAGAGTTCTCTTTAACAAGATTTATTCAGAAAAAAAATGGAAGAGGTTACAGGAATTTCAGCAACTGAACGATTTCTAATGTTACCCAGCAAAATTAGGATGGTGCTGGTCTTTTCATAATGATAACAAATAATGGGTCGGCTTTCAACCGACTCTCTCTATATGACAGCTTTCTGAATCTTCATCAGTTTGGGAATCAACCATCACAATCAGTGCCACTCTTCTTAGCCACATAGCTAACTTCACTTGAAACAGGCTTTCACAGATGATTAAGTCCCTAAATAGATACAAATGGGGAATTTTTGCCCTGAAAGTATAATTATAAAGGGGAAGGAGGGAACATCTCATCATTACCTTAGAACAGGGGTGTCAAACTGCCAGCCCGCGGGCCGGATGTGTCATGCCGAAACCGCGCCCACCCGATTGCCAGCAATGGAAAAAAAGTCACAATACGTCACGACATGTCACGTGACATGGCAAGTTAGACACTCCTGCCTTAGGATGAGGCCATTCACAAGAAAATTTATGTATTTGCAAAAAAAAAAAAAAAAGCAGCAGCATTACAGATAGTTCTCAACTTACCACAGTTCATTTAGTGACCATTCAAAGTTACAATGGCATTTGAAAAAGTGACTTATGATCGTTTTTCACACAACCAGTGCAGCATCCCCATGGTCACGTCATCAAAATTCAGACACTTGGCAACTGACTCATATTTATGACATCTGCAGTGTTACCTTTGATCACCTTTTCCAACCTTCTGACAAGCAAAGTCAATGGGGAAGGCAGATTTACTTAACAACCAAGTTACTAATTTAACTGCAGTGATTCACTTAACAACTGTGGCAAGAAATGTCATAAAATGGGGCAAAATTTGCTTAACAACAGAAACTCTGGACTCAGTTGTGGTTGTAAGTCAAGAACTATCTTTATACTGGTTGTCTGATAATATTGCAGTCTAATATGTCTCTCCTTTTGGAAATTCTTACCTGTTTATAATGAGCCATATTTTCTTTTCTGCTTCCCCAGTCAAATGCTCTGACTTCTCCAGACTTTATAGCCTGAAAATAAAGTTACTTTTAAAGGCCTGTATGCCTTCAAGAATATTCATTCATTCATTCATTCATTCATTCATTCATTCTACATACTGCCTTTCTGATCTGAGGCATTTATTATACATAGGAAGAGAAAACAAATTATCAAGTGTAGCAGTTTTCCTGTAACACTTGTTTACCCACCCATTCCTTGAGAAACACAACTGTGTATATTTTCCAAAGTCTTCCCATACTGGCAGGCATCCAGGGTTTAGTGCAAATAATTGCACTAATTGGAACATCCACCTCCTGCTGAGGGAATTTCCTTAGAAGTAAGACTTCCAAAGTTCAATTGGTCTTACTCCTAGAAGAACATGTGCAGAATTGCCACAGAGGTAAAAGCTAACATTAGAATCATGACCCATAAATGCAAGCCAATAACCTAAACACCATTGCAGCAAGCATTTCTCAATCAGCTTGGGGATTTCAACTCTACCTGAGACCAGTGAAGCATATTACGGACAGATGTTCCAGCTGGGCAGTGTGTTGAATAGACCTCTACTCGGCTCTGAAAACAACAGTGAATTGATTAGCTAAATCTATAACCGAGACACCAACATGCCATTTTTAAGCTAGCAATGGTTCTCAGTCTTTCATTACCAAATAGCTGAGATATATATAAGCTTAGAGAAGAGTATTTGCTAGTCTGATAACATACACAGTATTATTTTTAAAACATTTATAGCTTAATTCATTTCATTTCAAAACAAGAGTTTACCCATTTAGGCTTCTTAATTCATGTACTTACCATGTTTAGATTTTTCTCATTAAATCCACACAGGAGAAAGAAAAAGTTGCCACAAAGATCATCAATTAAAACCTGGCCGCACACGTGGGTAGCAAGCCATTTTATAACAGCATTCTGGGGGAAAAACTGCTTAGTTCCAAATATTTCCTGCCAAAATAAGAATAGCATAACATAGGTCACTTTGCTAAAAAAATAAGGATGCTTCTAAATATAATTAACATAAAGTCATAGGGCTGGACAAAAAGTAGTGGGTGGAAGATCATTAAAGAGATCCATCCTAGAAGTAAGGAGAAATTTCCTGAGATAGTGAGAATAATTAATCAGTGGAACAGCTTGCCTCCTGAAGTTGTGGATGCTCCATCACTGAAGGAGTTCAGGAAGAGACTACGCCACCATTTATCCAGAGTGGTATAGGATTTTCCACCATCGGCAGGGGTTGGACTAGTAGACCTCCAAAGTCTCTTTCAACCCTATTATTCTATGCTCTATGTTATTGCCAAGGTTTACAAAACTCCAAGACTGAATTTGGAAAATAAATATGTTTAAATACTGTATGATTCATGGATAAAACCAACCCTTGGTCACAATACTACAGCAGTGAGAAAATACTGTACGTGAATGAATGGAATCAAGTTACTGTACACTGAACAATAACCTGAGATATTTTTTTTATAAAATTCTGTATTACTGGAACCCAACACCTGATAATCTGACCAAGATGTATAAAGGTGTTTCACATGTCTGCTGGAAAAATAATTGTAGAGAAGGTACTTTTTATCATATTTGGTAGAATTATGATAAAGCAAAGAAATATTGGAGGCAAATTTATCCTTTAATTCAGGAGATTCTTAAAACAAACATAAAACTGAAACCAGAAGTTTTCTTTTAGGACTACTTCAAGATAAAGATCTTGGAAAAAAAATGGTACTTTATTAACTATGTTGACTGTAGCAAGAATTCCGTATGTGCAAAAATAGAAGGATAGGTCAATTCCCACAAAGGAAGAATAGATGGGAAAGGTGATGGAGCTGCAGAAAGGGCAAAAGTAACTGTTTTAATTAAAGAATGTATCCAATTTTGCTTCCACTCAGGAGATCATCTCTGGATTTTGCATTTGAAACGGGGAAAAAAAATAAAATTTTGGCTTGGGGTTTTGATGATTAGTTTGTTGTTATAGAAATAGGTAGTATTTACTAATTATGTAAAAGTAAAAAGATGAGATTCTAATTTTATCTGTACTTTACTGCAGCGAAAAAAGTTGGAACAAACTATTTTGAAACTTCCTGTGATGAATCTATCTAGCCATAAACAGGCAGAAAAATACCACATATCTGATTCAAGGAATCTCAAGTCTATCATTTAGAATAGAAGTATATCTACTTAAATTAATTAAGGACATCTACTAATTTTCTTTCAACTTGGAAAACCAGTCTGGTGTAGTGGATAAGGTGCTGGCCTAACGACCAGGACTAACAACTAATCCCGCCTTAGACATGAAAGCCAGCTGGGTGATCATGGGCCAGTCACACTCTCACAGAGTTGTTACTGTGGGGAAATAAGAAGGAGGAAGGAGTATTAGATATGTTCTCTACCTTGAGTTGTTTACAAAAATAATAAAGATGGGATAGAAATAAATAACCCAAACATTTAAAAATAAAATTTTATTTCATATATCCTATGGCATAATAACTATTACAATTATATCATAGTTGAACTGCTCCTAGAGTTAGGAAGTTTTTCCTAATATTTAATCAGAAGTTGTCTTCCTGTAATATTCAACCATTATTCTGGGCCCTGTATTTGGGGGAGAGGGACCTAGAAGGGAGTCATTTTTCTAAAAAAGAGCTGAGACAAGACACAGAGAAAACATTACGTTTCATATAATACAACAGAGTCGTATGATTGCCTCACTCTTAATAGAGCTTTTGGTGGCACTCTGCACATTGCAGAAAACTTCTGCACTTAAAAATTCTGTATTAATTTCAGCAGATAAATCCATGTGGACAGGATCTTCATGGCTACTTCAGTGAGACTGAAACTGCTATCAAGTCTCTTGACTGATCCATGCCTAGAAGATCAGCAGTTACTATTTTTCCCCCCCAATCTGAATAGGGTACTTCATCTTTTCAAGAACGTTGGCAGTAGAACCTCACAGTTGTAAGAACAGGTAAAACACACAACACTCAATTCAAGTATTCTCCAGGCACCAGCTCAATAGAGAACTTGGAGCAACTGATCACTTCTCATTCTCAATCTGCAACTGGCAAGATGAGCCAAACTAATGCACTGGGGTACACTGTTTAATGCTAAATATGATCATTTCAGGATAATCAAAACTCTGCTTTATTTTATAAATTCCGTGGAAGCATTGGTCCATTTTCCTGCAATGGTTTTAACACTGAATTCATGGTACTTCAGAGTAAATTTTGCCCTATGACAGCATGTTCAATAATTAAGGTTCAGTAGATTGCCAGCAATGATTATCTCTTGTGTAACAGGACTGGCGTTACTACCAAGAATGCCACTTAACCTTAATGTTTAATAAAACAACATGCACCTGGAGGTGCATGTGGAAACAAGTCCTCTGGAAGTAGGTAACAGCATAATTTTTTTTTTAATTTTACCTATGCAAGATTTAGATTAGCCTAACGCACCAGAAAAAAAACAGGTAGTCCTCAACTCACCATCACAATTGAGACAAAATTTCAGTTGAGACAGTTGTTCATTGAGTTTTGCCCCATTTTATGATCTTTCTCGCCACAGTTGTTAAGTGAATCACTGTGTTAAGTTAGTAACAAAGTTACCAAGTGAATCTGGCTTCCCCCATTGACTTTGCTGGTCAGAAGGTCACAAAAGGTGATCACATGACCTTGGGACACTGCATCCGTCATATATATGAGTCAGTTGCCAAGCATCTGAATTTTTGAACATGTGACAATGGGAATGTTGCAATGATGGTAAGTGTGAAAAATGATCATAAATCACCTTTTTTCAGTGCCGTTGTAAAAGTTAGTAAAAGGATGGTTGTAAGTCAAGGACTACCTATAAGCTGGGGCTGATAATCAAAAGAACTGCTTTCAACATTTTTTCTGCAAATACAAATCCATCCAAAGTTAAATCTAATCTATAGTAGTTCACATATTTCTTAAATTAGGATTTTTCCCATTTATAGTCTTTTAAGATTCTGCACAACAAACTTCCTGCAAACAACAAGGCCAAGAAATTAATTAATCTCAATGTGGAGTGTTTGGGGTTTTGTTTTGTTTTTTTCAAAACCTCTGACAACTTTCAATAATTTGGGAGAGAGGGATAATGGACATGTTTAAAAAGTGACTTTGGGCCAGTTACTGCCTCTGTCAACTCAACCTCACTCTTCCCCGCTATGGAAGGAAAAGAGGAGGAAGCAGAATAGACAGCTGCCATCTATGAGGTCCCGGAACATCTCAAGTCACAGGCAGTGTTTGTTTAAAACTGGGTTCCTTGTTAAGACTTTTGTTCAAAGGCATGTCGGTCTTTTGTTCAAGTATGTACAAAAAAAAATGTAGTACTTAGCTACATCCCCTAGTATTTGCACTTTGTGGTTCAAGCAAATACTTTAAACAAAACACGTACTTTAAACAGAAATTCAGGAAGTTCTCCAAGTTTGACCAAACCACCGGATGTAAACTTCACAGTCATAACAGGTGCCAATCCAAAAAACATTTTTATCTTTTTTGCCAACTCTGGAAAAACTGAAAATGCAATGAAACCTGGAGGAGGGAGAAACATAAAAGACATGAATAGAGCTTAGACTATGCAGCTGAACAAAATCAGTATGAAAACATTTGTTGCATATTCCACAAAAGCAATCATATTTTATAATTTTCACACTGTTTATGGCTAGCATCATTAAGGCAAAGGGGACTTTCTCTGTGCCTGAAGAATTTTTTCATTCATTTTTCTTTATAAATCCAAAGCAGTTTCTAAAATGATTAAACACTCAGAAGTTTGTTATAAAATCTCTTGCTAGGCTGAACAACTTGATTTCTTTTTTCCACAGGCATCCACTAGTTCAGAGGTCCCCAACCTGTTTTGGCAGGGCACGAAAACAGGATGCCGCCACACCTCAGGGCACAAAAATGGGCCAATGCTGTACCTCAGGGTGCAAAAACAGGATGCCGCCCTGCCGCGGGGCACAAAAATAGGCTGACACCGCACCATGGGGCACAAAAACGGGCCAAAACTGTGCCTCAGGGTGCAAAAATGGGATGCTGCTGTACTGCGGGGCCCCAAAATGGGCTGACACCGTGCCACGGGGCGCTAAAACAGGTGGAAACGGGGCGCTGTGCCGCATAAGAACGGGGCAGGGCTAGCAAGTATCACGTAAGTGCTAGCCCTGCCCCATTTGCGTCACGCATGTGCTCATGGCCCCGTGCATGCATGCGCACGCGCGCATCTGTAAAATGCTTCCCCCTCCCTTCCGGTCCGCCAACTGAGAAAGGTTGGTGACCTCTGTGCTAGTTAAATATAGGGTATGCCATTTTTAAAATAGGTAGGCAGCAAACCTCAAGGAGGATTCAACACATTGTGCAGACACACTGTATTCCATATATCACTTTACTGTATAGAGTTCTTCTCGCCTTCCAGTTTTTTCAACTGAAATTCGGGCATTCATTTGGTCCAAGACATCATAATTCAGTCCAGAGCCACTTCAAAACTTTAAAGTCTTCATTCAAGCTTTCACACATAAATACTTTCCGTTATTTAAAATATGTCTTTCCTAAGCTAATACCCTTCAGATTACACATCCCACATATTGCTGTGCTAACTCTGATCAAGATGATTATCCACCTGTATTCGGTGTAATTATTCTTTATAGATAAGCACTATGAAATTCAACTTCAGCTATGTAGCTATTAAAATTACCAATGTAAAGTAAGCAGTTTGCTAACCTACCTATTGTGGTGCCTTGAGAATGACCAACATAGAAGAGTTGCTCCTGACCAGTTTTGTTCAAGACAAAGTTTACTGAGGCAGGAATGTCATACATAGCCATTTCATTAAAACTAAAGAGGAGAAAGGAATCCATCAGATTTACACATTACATAGAGAAATAGGATCCATATTATCCAAGCCGCCACACACTGAAATATTATCCAGTCAATGTTATGAATAGATACCAGGGTTCAAGTCATATCAGGGTTCACAAGTCCTTTACTGACCCATCAAGACACTTCTGGTTTAACTTCTGCCCTTACAATGCAGATGAGGCTTATTTTAAAAGACTAAGTCAAGGATGAAACAACTATAAAATGCAATTAACATAAGCAATGGCAGCAAGTGTATCTGAAAAACCTCTTTCCATCCTGCAAGAAAGCTTTCAAGAATCTTGACTAATTTTACACCACTGTGATTTTTATTTGTGTCTTCCAATGACCTCTATAGTTTGCTTCTCGAGATCCTGAAACCTATCCAGAATAATATGACCACATGAGAGCAGGATCTCTTTTTACTTATTTATACGTCATACATTCTCATTTATTTGAATTATATTCCACCTTCAGGAACGCAAAGTGGCCTACATACCATTCACTGTTCCCATTTTTCTGAACTACAACAACTTTGTTATCTATGCTAAGAAACAGCAACTGGCTCAAAAATTTCCACTGAACTTTTATAGCTGAGGGTCATCTGGAATCTAAGTCTTTTAAGGTTTCTCAACCTCAATAACTTTAAGATTTCTGCATTTCAGCTCCTAGAATTGCCCAATCAGCCTGCTTAGCTCTTCCTTCCTGCATTTTCCCTTTCTTTCTGCAACTTGTCTTTTTTAGTTTGTAAACCTGGAGGTGGGTCAACTTTCTTGTTATAGTCTGAAGAGCATGGCTTTTTTTTAAAAAAAAGTTACCTTTGGAAAACAAAAGACAAAAATGTAATTAGCAATATCCTTTATGAAAGCAAAAGTTTACATATTATGGATTTGGTGAAGAAGTCATAGTTAGTTTTACCCATATAGCAGTTATTTATCATGGGGCAAGAAAATCCCGCACAATGATTCATCACACAAATCAGCCAATATGCATCAGCCATCATATGTCTTCGTCCTCCTTAGATATCAGCACTAGTTACACAGTGTAAACTATATAGATGTCATATAATGGCCATAATCAAGTGTTATCTCTTATTCCTAGCTGAAGTGTTGAGCCTACTGTACAGAGTGAACACTTGGTATTCTTAAACCTTCTCTCCAAGAAATTCTCTAAGTCAGAAGTGGGCAATTAATTTTCCCAAGGGGCCACATGTGAAACTGGGATTGTGGGGGAGGGCAGAACCAATAGGGCTGCCTCCACTGGCTGGTCAGGGACAAGTAAAGGTCTGGATGTGACCTGCGGGCTGTAGAAACCCAGGTTTGCTCTAAGGTACCACCCTCATTAGGTCTCCTGTTTCAGAATAGCAGTTTAGCAGTTTTCACCATCTATAATATTATATACTTACATATGCATGCGCACATACACACACTTCCATTAATAAAGCTATAAAAAGCAGGCTTGTGAAACATAAAGGGATAGGTAGAGGGGTAAAACCAAACAATTCCTAATGTTTAGCAAATTTGTCTACCTGAACATCCAGAATTCTTTTTGCTTTGTGGTATAGTTGATGTGTTTTTGGGACCAAGTGTTTCCTCTGCTGTTCCCTAACCAAACATCAAAACCAGCATCGGCTAGCACAAAACCCAGGCTGTTGTAGTCTAGGTTGGTCACCCAGTTACTGCCATCAGCAAGAAGGCCATGTTGCAGAAACACAGCTGGTTTCGGTTCTGAAAGGGAAGCATTTTACACATAGTTAGAAGCAGAACAACAGTATCCTCTCCTAAGGCAAGAAAGTTAATTCCACAGCGATTTGTACAAATGCCTTTCTTTGAACGACAGCAGATTCAACTTGGTAACATGTAATATAAATACAATGTAAAAAAAAAGAGGGTTAGTAAGATATGGATAAATGGGAGTCATTAAACTTCACCCTTTGGAGAATGGGGAATGCTGAAAAAATAAATATTATTCCCAGATTAATTTATATCCTGAGAGGAATTCCTGTTCAAATATCTGGAAAATATTTTCAGAAAATAAACTCTTTGTTTAGAAAATTTTCATGGGGCTCTTCAATTGCAAGAACGTATTTACACAAAATGCAATTACCAATTAATGAGAGAGAATTCAATTTTTCAAATCTGGAGCTATATCATCAAAAGTACCTATTCTCAAGTTTTAAATACTGAAAGCCAACAATTGGTGTTAATTTTTGAATGTTGACAAGTTTGGAATATACATATATGACATCTTTGGCTGGACGGACAGTCTTAGGATCTAAATACAGAAAACTGCTATCTCTGAAAATTGTATCAGTTGGAAAAATATGGAATGTAATATTGAATTTAAAAGATTTGATTCTTTTTCTCATGCTGAATTAACTTTATGGGGAAAGCCAACATTAAAAATTGGGGAAAAGATGTGGAATTTTCATTTGAATTTATGTCCTGTCATTTCTCAGAGGCACTCCATGATTATTTTAGGTTGGAAGGGAAACATTCAAAACACATATCAGATGGTTACTGAAACTTAGTACATCAAAATATCCCGAGGACTCTTGCCAAAATTATCCCCATCCAAAATTAACCAAATTCATTGGAAGGAACCATTTCTAACCATTTTACTCCCTCCCTTGGGAGTCATGGGCTCTGAATTTTAGACACATTCTCTAAGTTAGCCCATTTGAGTTACCTTGGTTCAAAAATTGTTGCCTTGTGATGTACTGTTTGGTTCAGTTAAGGGCCGTGACAACAAGATTTGCAACAAGATTTATATACTTTCATAATACTCTATTATCTGCTTACAAACAAATACTCACCCTTGGTTTTCTGACTTATTTTCCCATAAGGAATTCTATTCAGACATAGGATATATCCATCATCTGTCACCACTTCATATTCCTCATTGGGATATCCTCTGAATAAAATAAGTTCACTCTAAAAGAGAAGCAAATCAAAGATAATGCTGTTCATTATTACGTTGTTCTAAAGTACCTAAGCCAGCCTTCACCTATTTAATGTCCTCAGGATGTTTTGGACTGCTATTCCTAGTATTCCCAATTTTTAGCAACACTAGCTAACAACTTTGGAGAATTTGTTGACTCAAAATATCAAGAGAGGTTCAAAAAGATATTTGGCTTAAATATTTTATTTCTCTTATCTAAAAAGCAAATCAAAGAATGAAAAAAAGCCACAAAGTAGTCATTATTATGGTAAACATGAGAAAGTTCCCTTAATGTGCAAATCAGCTATTGCTATAACTGTCAGATGACCAGTGAACCAAAACAAAGCAATAAAGCTGAAGCAATTCATCTCTATATTTGATCAGTAGCTTGGGCAACTATCAACATGTTTCAACGTTCACAGTTGTTTAACAATGGTTTAGCCTTCCATCCTTCCGAGGTCGGTAAAATGAACCATCCAAAGAGTGCTGTAAGCACTATCAGGTGGTATGCTATTGCTATTCTATTACTACCGATCAACACAGATATGATAGATAGCCATGTATGCATCCAAACACATTTTCTGGATTATTGTAACAGGGGCCACCTTTGAAAAGCATCCAGAAGTTAACTATTGGTGCAAAATGTGGCAGCTATTCTACCAAAAACATCTATATTGAAAGATCTAGACCAGGGATGTCAAACTCAATTTTATTGAGGGCCGCATCAGCATTGGGGGGGGGCGGGTGTGTGTGGCCAGGGTGGGTGCAGCCTACTGGGTGAGTGTGGATGGAGTGGGTGTGGCCTACTGGGTGGGCGTGGCCAGCTCTACATTGTTCGCGTCAAGGGTGCCTGTGGGGGCCTGGGCAGGGTGGGACAGATCTGAGGGTCTCTGGGAGAACGGGGTGGGACCGGGGCAAACGCCAAGGCATGGTCCACTGGAAGAGCCTCACTGTTCCTCTCAGGCCATACGAGGGAAGGCTGGATGGTGCCACGGGCTTCTCAGAGCCCTGGGCCAGCAGAGGTCAAATGCCCAGCCTGGCCCTCGAGCACCCACGGCACCAAGCCCAGCCCCACTGCCCCAAGGGGGCGCCCAGTTGCACTTACCTCCTCCTCAAGGCTGCTGCTGCAGTGCTTGCTCTCCTTAGCCAGATTGTTCATGATGGATACGAGGGCAAAGTCAGAGGGAGGCCCATTCCTTCTCCATGGGAGGAGACCCGGCTTTGTATCCAAAGCTTCCTTGGCAATAGGATGGGAGACCCCCAGGATAGGCCAGAAGGAGGGGGCAAGGGGATGGTGAAAGGGCAGCAGGGCAGGCCTAAGGCAGGACTTCCCTCAGACCCTCCCCTTCCTTTCCTTCTTTCCTTCCTTCCTTCCTAAGTACAGAGTCGTGGGAAAATATTTGAGATGAGGGAGGGAGAAAAACAGGCAAGAAACGCAGCTGGGGAGGTGTCACCCTTCGTGAGGAATGAAGAAATGCACCATCGCCTGGAAGTGGCCAGCACATGGCCCTCACCTACTTCACATATCTGGCTTGGTGGGCTCTGAGGGAGAGGATGCCATGAGCAGAGTGAGAGTCAACATTATCTGCGCAATGCCACCCAGCCCCAAACCTGTCCAGTTTTGGCAGGCAGCGAGGCGCTCTTCTCACAGCGCCGAGAGGCTGAGCCAGGCGGCGCAAATCCGAAAAGGGCGACGACGCCCAGCCCCCAGCCTGCCCGGTCTCGGCAGGCAGCGGGGCACTCTCCTCACAGTGCCGAGAGGCTGAGCCAGGCAGCGCGAATCCGAAAAGAAGCATGACGACACCCAGACCCCAGCCTGCCCGGTCTCGGCAGGCAGCGGGGCATTCTCCTCACAGTGCCGAGAGGTTGAGCCAGGCGGTGTGAAGCTCGCCAGCTTTGTACCTTGCTGCCTGCTGAAACTGGGCAGGCCGGGGGCTAGGCAGCATTGCACTTCTCATCAGATTCGCACCACCTGGCTCAGCCTCTCGGCGCTGTGAGGAGAGCGCCCAGCTGCCTGCCGAAACCTCTCCCCCGGCCCATCAAGCCAGATATGTGAAGTAGGCCAGGGCCATTTGCTGGCCACTTCCAGGCAATGGTGCATTTCTTCATTCCTCACAAAGGGTGACACCTCCCCAGCATGCACCCAGGAGGCAGGGCTGACGCGGCAGGGGCTAGTTCCTCGCTGTTTCCAGATGGCCTTGTGGAGCTAAGACTGAATGCGTTTCAGCATAGATGGCCACCACAAAATTGTACATTGGCTTCCTCCCGGCCAGTCTGGGCCAGGGCCAAGGCAGCAGGGGCCACACCCTCACTATTTCCAGGATGGCTTCGTGGGCCGCATCTGGCCCCCCGGCCTTGTGTTTGACATGTCTGGTCTAGACTGCTTGCCAAGTGCTTACAAGCAGCTTAAGATATTGCCTCAAATGGCTCAGTGCTCAGATTTTTTCAGATTTTCCCTTTATTGGTTTCAAGAAAATATTATTAGGTAGAATTTTTTTCCTTCTGCTTGGAGCAAGCTTGAAATTTTCTTGTAGGTAGACTACCTTACATTTTAGGACTAATTTCCATTTTTCTGCTGTCTGGAAAATTTGCTACCTCAGAACAGCTAGAAAAGTTGGAAAAAACAAATCTAGAAATTTTATTTCTCTTATCTAAGAACATACAAAATAGCAAATTCAATGTACAAAAGCATGGGGGGAAATCACAAAGCAAATATTTTTAAAATGGAACATTAAAAAAGTTCTATTAATATGCAAATCAGCTATCATTGGAAACTGTTATATGATTGTTGAACTAAAACTAAGCAATAATGCTGAAGCAATTCATCTCTGTATTTGATCAATAGCTTCGACTAATGTTTAGCAACTGCAGAAAGGCAGTGCCCAAATGCCACTCTATGTACCTATGGTACAGGACAGCTATAACAGGAGTCATGTATGCATCCTATCATATTGTCAATATTGAGCGTCCCTGCTCTATAGGGGCAGACTTCCAAGTGGATATAATATCCATGGTGAACATATTGTCGGCTTACAGTGAAAATCAGGAACATTCCATTCACAAGAATCTAGCCAACTAACGATTAGTACTAAGTTGGCACTAGAAAAGAGTCAAAGGAATTCATGGAGGGATGGACTTGGATAACAACTCCAGACTGATAACTCTTTTAACACCAGCCCCTGGCTCTGCCTTCTCTTCTCCTACACATTTGCCCTTTTGAATATGTTATCTCACAAGAACTCAGCAGAGTACTGTCCATTGATGCCCTTTAGAAATTCTGCATTTTATTGTACTGTTTTGCTTTACTTGTTATAAACTGCTCCCTGTTGTCAGGTTTTTCCTCTGTAACCCTAATTGTCAATGAAGATCAAACTTCATGAAAATATTGGCCACAGAATATGCAGTACCAATTACTGAAACCGTCTGAAACTGAAGTGATAACAGTAACAACTTACAATGTTCATGGCTGTTTCTGGATCCACACCTCTTTTTCTTCTCTCAAGCATTGCTGAATTTACCAGGCCTTGGAACAAAATCGCTGTGATTATTAGCCGCCACATCTTATCTCTACAAAAGAAAAAGAAAAAAGGTCATCTCCACAGCACAAATATGCAAGTCTATCCCACCACAAACACTACACAGTAACAATCAACCTTCTAACACCAACAGTAAGACTGTGTATTTGCAGCTCTCTCGTGTTCTATGTAGAAGCATGATATAAAGCAACTTAAACTAATTTACACTCAGCTTATACTCAAGAGCTGTGGCTAAAAAAAGAAAAATAGTGCTTGCCTAGAACAGAAAAAAAATGCTCCATTATAGTTAGAGGCTGTAAAATTCTGGAAATTGAAGTCCACACTTCTTAAAGTTGCTGAGATTGAAAAACATTGAACTAGAACAGGGCTTTTCAACCAGTGGTACGGGTATCACCTGTGGTACATTGGCACCTGGCAGGTGGTACGTGACCATCCGAGAAAAGTGGTAGCGGGGGAGGGGAATGAGCTGAACCAGTGGCAGTACCGCACATGCCTGAGTGAGAGATGGCTGGAGCTGCAGGGCTGTCAGGGCTCAGCGGAAGCACCAGGATCAGTGCCGCTTTCCAGCTGATCGGCACTTCGGGGCTGTCAGGGCTCAGCGGAAGCGCCAGGATCAGTGCCAGGATCCAGCTGGAAAGCAGCACTGATCCTGGTGCTTCTGCTGAGCCCAGAAGAAGCGCCGATCAGCTGGAATGTTGCAGCATCTCCAGGGTCTTGTGATTTACATTCAGATGCTTGGCAACTGATTCATATTTATGATGGTCACAGTGTCCCAGGGTCTTGTGAAATGAGCAAAACCTGCTGCAACCACCCAGCAGATGGGAGGGGGAATAAAAACCAAACACTCCCCCACCCCACCCCCACTGCCAATCCTCAACAGAAATGCTCACAACAACGAAAACCTCGGACCGGAGGAAGAGCGCAGCCGGGCCGGCCAGCAGGTGTCTTGCTCGGCTGTGGCTTGGGGGGCACTTTTTTCAGTGCCATTGTAACTTTGAACAGTCACTAAGCAAACTGTTGTAAGTCGAGGACTACCTGTACTTTATCACTTTTTTCCTTTTTATTTTTTGGTCATCAAGTTTTTGACACCTTGCTAGGCATCTGGTGGTACTCGGATGTTGCCATATCCTAAAAGTGGTACAATGGGTGAAAAGGTTGAAAAGCCCTGAACTAGAATACTATGATCTTCCCATTACTTCTTTTGCTTCTGGCCAATCTGCACAATCATTGGCTTTGATAGAACTCTGACGGGAGCCAATTAGTAAACTAATCCTTGTGCATTTTCATCTATGCCAGGGATAGGCAACCTTGGCTCTTTTATGACTCGTGGACGTCAACTCCCAGAATTCCTTAGGAGTTGAAGTCCACGAGTCATAAAAGAGCCAAGGTTGCCTACCCCGATCTATGCCATAAGGAACAGCATTAACTGCTTTCTTTATTAGTTTTATATCTTGTTTTTCTTCAGGGAACTCAAGGCAAATTACACAGCACTCCCTTCTGATTTTTCCCTACAACAACCCTGTAAGGTAGGTTTGTTTGACTGACCTAGTTACCCAAGGAATTTCCACGGCTGAGGGTACACTGGAATCAGCATTCCTGGTTCTCCTAATGCACCGTAACTGCTACACTACACTGCAGTACTATCATTACAAAGCAGTAATGTATCTTGTACACAAACATTTCATTCTCAACTAGATACCAGTTTCCAATTACTGGATATTAAAAGTTCTGGGGGGAAAAGAAACCTGACAACCGGGTGCAGTTTATAACAAGTAATTAATATCACCACAAATCCATTTAATCTATCTAAACATTTGCAAAAGTTGTATGTATCAAAAAATGAAGTTGCCAGGTGTAATGTATTGGCCACAACTGTTTTAAATCACTTGCTTAATGTCTGACCTACGTTGCTGTATACAGTGCTTTTTTTCTAAAAAAAAAAAAAAAGGTGCTGGAACTCACACACGTCATACAACCCGCCTTGCCTACCCTACAAGGTTCCATCCAAAAAAGGTGGCGGAACTCTGTTCTGGATGTTCTATGAGAAAAAAAGCCCTGGCTGTATTGTTTAACAGTTGCTGTTACTGAAAGCCAGACTGGCTGTCTCCAAGCTGATAATGGGGCGGGAAACTTACTTTAAACCTATTGGTTGCCACCTACAGGTTAACTGTATAAATAGCTGTGCAGCAGCCTTTAGGGCTGCTTCTGTTCTGAGTTAATAAACTTGTTTGCTCTTTCAACACTCTGCCTCGTTCAATGCCTAAAGAACCGAAGATATAACACCAGGAACACAAGATAAATATCAGAATAGACCAAATTGGCCTCTACATGTTGAAAATCTACCGTATTTTCCGGTGTATAAGACGACTTTCTAAACCCTGAAAATCTTCTTAAAAGTCGGGGGTCGTCTTATACGCCCAGTTGTCTTATACGCCAGAAAATGCAGGTATGCAGGAAAATCAGGCGGCGGCTTGGGAGACAACTGCCGCCGCAGCACTGGACCGAGTCGTGCCTTTGCGGCCTCTGACCCGACGTAGATCTCGACTGGCTCCCTGGTTTACCGGGGAGCTGAGAGAGATGAAACGTCGGAAAAGACGCCTAGAGCGCAGTTGGAGGACCAGCCGAACCGAATCCGACCGAACACAGGCAAGGATACATGTTAGATCCTACCTAGTGGCGATGAGGGTGGCTAGGACTAACTACTATTCCTCACTCATCGCGTCATCAGATAATCGCCCGGCCGCCCTCTTCAGGGTGACCCGCTCCCTCCTTCAACTGAGGGGGGGG